TTCAATGCAATACCAATCAAAATACTGAAGACATACTTCTCAGATCTGGAAAAAATGGTGCTGAAATTCATATGGAGACACAGGAGACCTCGAATAGCTAAAGCAATCTTTTTCTACAAAAACAAAGCTGGAGGCATCACAATACCAGATTTCAGGACATACTACAAGGCAGTTGTTATCAAAACAGCATGGTACTGGTACAGAAAGAGATGGATAGACCAATGGAACAGAATAGAAACACCAGAAATCAACCCAAACATCTACAGCCAACTTATATTTGATCAAGGATCTAAAACCAATTCCTGGAGCAAGGACAGTCTATTCAATAAATGGTGCTGGGAAAACTAGATTTCCACGTGCAGAATCATGAAGCAAGACCCCTACCTTTCACCTTACACAAAAATTCACTCAACATGGATTAAAGACTTAAATCTATGACCTGACACCATCAAATTATTAGAGAGCATTGGAGAAGCCCTGCAAGATATAGATGCCAGCAAAGACTTCCTAGAAAAGACCCTGGAGGCGCAGGCAGTCAAAGCCAAAATTAACATTTGGGATTGCATCAAATTGAGAAGTTTCTGTACTGCAAAAGAAACAGTCAGGAAAGTGAAGAAGCAACCCACAGAATGGGAAAAAATATTTGCAAACTATGCAACAGATAAAGGGTTGATAACCAGAATCTACAAAGAAATCAAGAAAATCCAACATCAAAACAAACAACCCACTTAGGAGATGGGCCAAGGACCTCAATAGACATTTTTCAAAAGAGGAAATCCAAATGGCCAACAGACACATGAAAAAATGTTCAAGATCACTAGCAATCAGGGAAATGCAAATCAAAACCACAATGAGGTTTCACCTCACCCCGGTTAGAATGGCTCACATTCAGAAATCTACCAACAATAGATGCTGGCGAGGATGTGGGGAAAAAGGGACACCAACCCACTGTTGGTGGGAATGCAAACTGGTTAAGCCACTATGGAAGTCAGTCTGGAGATTCCTCAGAAACCTGAAAATAACCCTACCATACAACCCAGACATACCACTCCTTGGAATTTACCCAAAGGAAATGAAGTTGGCAAACAAACAAGCTGTCTGCACATTAATGTTTATTGCAGCTCAATTCACAATAGCTAAGACCTGGAATCAATGCCCATCAACAGTAGACTGGATAAAGAAATTATGGGATATGTACTCCATAGAATACTATACAGCAGTCAAAAACAATGAAATCCGGTCATTTGCAACAAGATGGAGGAATCTGGAAAACATTGTGCTGAGTGAATTAAACCAGTCCCAAAGGCACAAATATCATACGTTCTCCCTGATTGGTGACAACTAACTGAGCGCCAAGGGGGAAACCTGTTGAAGTGAAATGGACGCTATGAGAAACAGTGACTTGATCAGCTCTTGTCCTGACTGTTGATGTACAATGTAATACTTTATCATTTTAGTATTTTTTTGTTTTGTTCTAGTACTATTGGTTGAACTCTGTAACTAACACACAATTATTCTTAGGTATTTAAATTTTAACTGAAAAGTGATCCCTGTTAAATATAAGAGTGGGAATAAGAGAGGGAGGAGATGTACAATTTGGGACATGCTCAATCGGACTTGCCCTAAATGGTGGAGTTAGAAACGTGCCAGGGGATTCCAATACAATCCCATCAAAGTGGCATGTACTTAAGGCATGCCCTTAAGGCATTCGGATCTGGCTGAAGAGCCCATGAGAGTATTTTAGGTATGGGAAGCCAAGATACTCTGGGAAAAAAAAAAAAAAAAGGAAGAAGACCTAAATGAAAGATCTCTGCGAGTGAGATCCCAGTGGAAAGAACGGGGCCATCAAAGGAGATGCCTTTCTCTGAAGGGAGGAGAGAACTTCTACTTCGAATATGACCCTGTCAGATTAAGATTGAAGTCAGCGAACTCAAAAGGCTTCCGTAGCCTTGGCAACTCATGACAAGAGCCTAGGGAGATTACTGACGCCATAAACAAGAGTGTCAAATTGTTAAGTCAACAACAGGAGTCACTGTGTACTTACTTCTCATGTAAGGGTCTGTCCTTAATGTGTTGTCCAATGTGAAGTAATGCTATAACTAGTACTGAAACAGTATTTTACACTTTGTGTTTCTGTGTGGGTGCAAACTGATGAAATCTTTACTTAATATATATTAAATCGATCTTCTATATATAAAGATAATTGAAAATGAATCTTGATGTGAGTGGATGGGAGAGGGAGCGGGAGATGGGAGGGGTGCTAGTGGGAGGGAAATTATGGGGGGAAGCCATTGTAATCCATAAACTGTACTTTGGAAATTTATATTTACTAAATAAAAAAATAAAAAATAAATAAAAAAAGATTCATTTTCAATTATCTTTATATACAGAAGATCGATTTAGTATATATTAAGTAAGGATTTCAACAGTTTGCACCCACACAGAAACACAAAGTATAAAATAATGTTTGAGTACTAGTTATAGCATTAATTCACATTGCACAACACATTAAGGACAGAGATCCTACATGGGGGTAAGTGCACAGTGACTTCTCTTGTTGACTTAATAATTGACACTCTTGTTTATGGCGTCAGTAATCACCCTAGGCTCTTGTCATGAATTGCCAAGGCTATGGAAGCCTTTTGAGTTTGCCAACTCAGATCTTATTTAGACAAGGTCATAGTCAAAGTGGAATTTCTCCCTTCAGAGAAAGGTACCTCCTTCTTTGATGGAGTACCCTTTAACTTTGAACCTGTTTTCTACTCTGGTCTTCTATGGCCGACTCCCTCCTCACTGACAGTCATGTTGTCCTCTCAGGAGCCTCATTATAATTCTTGTAATCAGTCTTCCAGTGTCCCCTATTCCCTGACCTCGGATACACTTTTCTTAGTCTGAGCCTCAGATAGGAACAATCCAGCCCAAGGAGGGATAGGTTCTATGCCAACCCGGGATTCAGCTACACATCAGAAGGGCATGGAATGGGTACACAACCTTGAGCTGCCTGCTACAGAATGAAGGATTAAGTTCTCTAGGCCTCAATCTCCCCATTTGTAAACGGAAGAGCAGGATTACCTGGTGTCAACCTCATTGATGTGACACCTGGAGGAAACAGGGCAGGTTTGAGTCCATTAGAATCAGTACAGAGGCCGGGGAGGGGAGATGTGGGTGGAATTTTCACCCAGATGCTGAAAGCTTTCCCACAAACAACCACACCACCCCCAGCAATGGAAGCTCCTGTCCGCCGGCACACTTCAGAGAAGGCATGCATGAGGCCTCACTAATCCAGCTGCTGTGGGATCAGGGCAGATACACTCAGCCCACCCACATTTTTCCACCTGCTGCTGCTGAGGTGAAGATAGGTGGCTCTGGTGGGAGCCCAACCAGAAGGCAGAAGAAGGACTTAGACCCTAGACCACCGGGCAGCCTCAAGACAAGGAAGCTCCACATTCCCTTGAGACCAGGCTTATGCCCCAAATGTGTCTTCCAACCCCACCTCCACACCCAGTGCAACCCCACAACTCTCCTGAGCTCTGCTTGGAAAGCAACAAAGAAAGAAGTCCCAGGACCATAAACTGATAGGTGAGCAAAGGAGTAAACCACATCTATTGAGAACTCACTGTGTGTCAGACACAAACTGTTTCTTGTAAATACTCCTCAAAGCACACTAAAATTCTGTCCAAAACTACATCGGTTCCAGTTCTGGGTGATTTCATCATGCACATAGATTGTTCTCCCAACATCCTGGCTCTCAGCCTTCTCTTCTCCTTCTACCTCAGTTACTTCCTCCCTTTGGCCTTAATACCTCAATTCCAATTTCAAGCATCCCCTTGTCAATGCCTACCTCGCATCTCACTCCCTTGAACACCCTGACTCAAAATTACCCTTCAATGCCCTTGGGACCTTCAACCTACTTTTTGCTGTCCCTTCCCCCAAGTGTGTCATCTCTTCCCTTCCTGCCAATTTAAATTCCATATAAGACAAATGATGCTTCCTTTGCATACACTCTCATCTTCCCTACCCCTCCCTCACTTCAGTGCACTCTTTTGTCTCAACCAAAGCTCTCTATCTTCTCTGAGCCTGCACCCCCATCTCTGACATGCACTGCAATAGAAAAACATGTTCATTTTGACCGGAGTCTCTTTAGTGACCACCAGCCTCACATGGGTCCTAAAATAGCCTGAAGCTCACACTGTATTTCTCTAGTTCTCCCCTCTAGGTGTTTTCCTACTTTCTCCAGTTTTCTTCAAACTTCCTACACCTCATCTTCATTTTTAGTGGAAAATCCAGCCTCCTGTTTCACTGAGACAATTGAAGCAATCAGAACAGGACTCCTACTTTCCGGATAAACTCCGTTGTCAATTCTACCTGTGTATGGGAACCCAGCCCTCTCACCTACTCAAGAACATTGATCCAATGGTCACCTTTCTTGTCCTGCAGCATCATGTTTTCCTCTCTACTGGATCATTTCCATAATGATACAAAGATACTGTTACTTTTCCCACCTTGAAAAAAATATTCCCTCTTCCAGAAGGCACTGTAGCACAGTTGTAGCACATGCTTGGGATACCCGCATCCCATGTTGGAGTGCCTATCCAAGTTCTGGCTACTTCACTTCAAATCTAGCTTCCTGCTAATTTTCCTGGCAGCAGCAGATGATGTCTCAAGCACTTGAGTCCCTGCCACCCATGAAGGAGATCTGGATGGAGTCCCTGGCTCCTGGGTTCAGCCTGGCCCAGTCCTGGCTGTTGAGGGCACTTGGGAAGTGAGTTAGCAGACTGAAGATCACTCTTTGTCACTTTATCTTTCAAATAAATAAATTTTAACACCCCCCCTTACCTTAATTCCTATTATTCCATTTCTCACCTCCTTTTCTAACCAAGTCCCATTTTTAGTAGCTTTGATATAGACTTTATCAAGGCCTGAGATCTCTTCTTGAGCCCAAAGTTCCTCTGTCTCAGTGTGGTATGTACAAGTCTACTCCTTTCTAAAGATTAACTCACCAAATTAGCAGATTGGTGCATAGGTTGTGTTGGTCCTGTGGGACTTCAGATTGAAGCCCTTTGAATTCATTTATCTCCCCTATAGCTAACATCCTGATGCTAAACTTTAACTGAAATGTTCTTCAGGAACTTTAAGCTCTGCTCGAGAAAAGTAATAATCATTGTGCTCATAGACCCCAGATGGGCTGGTGTCCACCTTGCTATCACAGCATCTTCAGAACTTGCCAGGCTTCCATTGCTGATCCAACAAAGGAAAGCCATGAATGCTGCAGACCAACCAGAGACTCACACACAAGCTGATCACACACTGTTCAAGCCCCACTGTATTAACAGAATCCCTGTAATGTAAAAGTATGACCCAGCCTCTTGTCTGTCCCCCTTAGCACAAGGTGTCCTTGCCTGTTTATCAAAATGAATTCACTCACTTGAGGGAGTGATACAGCTGGCCCTACAAGGTTCTAATCACTGGATTCAGGAAGTCATTTGCTTCTCCAGTAGATAGGAACCTTGATGGCCAGTATTGTCTTAGGGTGGTTTGTGTCGGGCAATTCCAGGTCAGGCGGAATGTAGCCATCACCTTCACATAGCCGCCAGATCAACTGGAGCCCACCTGGCAACCATAAATTTCCTAAAGAGCATGGCATCACTGACCAATCAAAGGAAGGTCATGAGCACCACTGACCAATCAGGAAATTGGACACCAGCTGATGACACACCTCTTAGAACCAATTTCAGTTTATAAGAACTTTTACCTCTAACTTCTTGGAGAGCCCAGGGAATTAAACAACAGCTACCTGGCTCCTTGGCCTGTGCTTTGCCATAAACACCTACTTTCTTCCATCAACCTGATGTCAGTGATTGGCTTTCTGTGTGTTGGGTGAGCAGACCCAGATTGGGGGTTCTAGAGCAAGCCTCCAATTTGTTTGGGATGTTGTTTGCAACACCTTTAATCCCTCGGGAAGCCCGCGAATTGAGCATCAGCTGCCTGCATCATTGCTCTGTGCACAGCGAATAAACTCCACTTTCTTCCATCACCTGGTGTCAGTGACTGACTCACAATAGGCAAGTGGACCCAGGTTGGTGTTCAATAGCGCATTCTCCAGCAATTCTTGGGGAGCCCTACAGCACCTTCAACAAGAAAACATCTTAGAAATACAGTGCTATGCCTACGGGGAAAGCAGGATACACAGCAGACTCATAGAATGGCAAATGCCCTAAACAGCACTCTGGCTTCAGAATCAACCCTTAAGGATTCGGATCTGGCTAAAAAACACATGAGAGTCTCGCAGGCATGGAAAGCCAAGGCACTGTGAGAAAAATGACCTGAATGAAAGATCTCGGTGAATGAGATCCCAGTGGAAAGAACGGACCATCAAAGAAGGAGGCACCTTTCTCTGAAGGGAGGCAGGAACCTCCACTGTGATATGACCTTGTCTAAATAAGATCAGAGTTGGTGAACTCAAGAGGCTTCCATAGCCTTGACAGCTCATGACAAGAGCCTCGGGTGATTACTGACATCATAAATAAAAGTGTCAATTGTTAAATCAACAACAGGAGTCACTGTGCACCTGCTACCCATGTAGAATCTCTGTCCTTAATGTATTGTACTATAAGAATTAATGGTAAAACTACTAGTCGAACAGTACTCTCTGTCTTGTGTGGCTGTGTGGGTGCAGTCTGTTGAAATCTTTACTTAGTATATACTAAGTTGATCATCTGTATATAAAGATAATTGAAAATGAATCTTGATGAAGAATGGGATAGGAGAGGGAGTGGGAGACAGGATGGTTGAGGGTGGGAGGGAGGTTATGGGGGGAAAAGCCACAACAATGCAAAAGTTGTACTTTGTAAATTTATATTTAATAAATAAAAAAAGAAAAGAAATACAGTGATATGGGGCCGGCGCTGTGGTGTAGCAGGTGGGGCCACCATCTGAAGTACCGGTATCCCATATGGGCACCAGTTCAAGTCCTGGCTGCTCCACTTCTGATCCAGTTCTCTGCTGTGGCCTGGAAAAGCAGTAGAAGATGGCCCAAGTCCTTGGGCCCCTGCACCCATGTGGGAGATCCAGAGGAAGCTCCTGGCTTCAGATCGGTGCAGCTCCAACTGTTGTGGCCAATTGGGGAATGAACCAGCAAATGGAAGACTTCTCTCTCTTTCTGCCTCTCCTTCTTTCTCTGTGTAACTCTGACTTTCAAATAAATCAATTAATTTTTTAAAAGATTTTATTTATTTATTTGAGAAGTAGAGTTACAGACAGAGAAAGGAAGAGATTGAGAGAGAAAGGTCTTCCATCTGCTGGTTCACTCCCCAGATGGCTGCAATGGCCAGAGCTGAGCCAATCCGAATTCAGAAGCCAGGAGCTTCTTCCAGGTCTCCCAAGCAAGTGCTGGAGCCCAAGCACTTGGGCCATCTTCTATTGCTTTTCCAGGCCTTAGCAAAGTGCTGGATTGGAAGAAGAGCAGCTGGGACACAAAAGGTGCCCATATGAGACACTGGCACAGCAGGCAGAGGCTTAGCCCACTAAACCACAGCACTGGCCCAATGTCGTGCTTTTTTTTTTCTTTCTTTTTTTTTTTTTAAGATTTATTTACTTATTTGAAAGGCAGAGTTACAGAGAGGCAGAGGCAGAGAGACACAGAGAGAGATCTTCCATCTGTTGGTTCACTCCCCAGATGGCCGCAGTGGGCAGAGCTACGCCAACCCAAGGCCAGGAACCAGGAGCTTCTTTCAGGTCTCCAACATGGGTGCAGGTGCCCAAGGACTTGGACCATCTTCTACTACTTTCCCAGGCCATAGCAGCAAGCTGGATGAGAAGTGGAGCAGCAAGGGACTCGAACTGGCACCTATAAAGAATTCTGGCACTGCATGTGGTAGCTTTACCTGCTATACCACAACGTTGGCCCCTCAGTGTCATAGCTTTTAATACAATTCATGCTTGGATGGCTCCCAAATATATTTCCAACACAGACCTCTCTCCTGAATTCTGGATACCTATATATTCTATTGTCTAGTTGACATCTTCACCTGATTGTCTAAATGGTCTGTACAACTTAACATGTCAAAAAAAATTTTTTTTGGCCTCCCATCCTCTCATCCTACTCTTCCTCCAACTCAACAAATAGCACCATTCTGGTGGCTCAAACCAAAATCCTTGATATTGCATTTAACTCCATTTCTTCATCTATCCTTAAATCTCTCATTGTGCAGATTTGTGTATGTTTTGCTCAATACTACAACCTCAACTCCTGAAAGAGTATTAATCCTTTGTAGCTGTTCAATAAATATTTGCTAAATAAAGGAAAAAGTAAATTAATTCAATGACTTTGTACCAAGTCCCTCATCATCTATGCATTCAATAGGTAAGATAGGTACAGATTGTGACAATAGCTGCAAATGAAAGAAAATAATAAAAGTGTTCTGCATAGGGTGGAGGTCTTATCTCTGAGAAAATGACTTTGAAAGGAGACTTCAGGAATCTAAAGGAGCCATCCTGGGAAGAACCTGGAAAAGAACATTGACACAGAGGCTGCAGAGACAGCTAAGCACTTAATGGTTCTAGGAAACAACGGATGGTCAGAGGAGCAACAGGACCTGGAGAGGGAAGGGAGAGAGGCGGAGAGCTGGGTCAGGTCACACAGGCTTTTGCAGATCCCATAAGGAGTGTGGAGTTCATTCATAGGTCGCTGACCATTTTGTCAACTTTCTAAACAAAGAATGAAAAATTTAGACTTGAGGATTTGATCCCTATTCTGCCAGGCTTAAGTTTTGCAAACTTTAGCAAATTATCTCCCCCTTTGAACTCCATATCTACAATTGAGGAATAACTATTTTTACCTCCTTACCTAATACCATTGTCTTGAAGTTCAAGTGAGATTAGTCAGCGATCTTCAGAGCTGTAGATCTTGAAGGTCACTTTAAACAAATTATTAAAGATAAGAACCAAACAAAAGCAAAAGCTAGAAATGGTTTATATGCAAAGAGGTTAAGATTTTTTAAATGATCAGGGGCTGTTTCACTATGGTAAGAGTTAAAAACGCTTCCTAGTAATGTCTGAGGGTTTCCAGCCAAGAATGCAACTAAGTTCCTGGCCTTCGAAAGGCAGGTGGAGATGCCAGCACTGTGACGCAGTGGGTTGAGCTGTGGCTTGTAGTACTGCATTCCTGTATGGCGGTTCAAGTCCTGGCTGCTCCACTTCCAATCAAGCTCCCTGCTAGTGTGCCTGAGAAAGCAGTGCAAAATGGCCAAGGTCTCTAGATCCTTGCACCCATGAGGAAGACCTGTAAGAAGCTCTTGGCTCCTGGCTTCCACCTAGCACAGCCCTAGCTGTTTCAGCCACTTGTGAAGTGAACCAAGAGATGCAAAATCTGTCTCACCTGTTTATCTGTAATTCTGCCTTTTAACTAAATAAATAAATCTTTTTTAAAAAAAATTTATTTATTTGAAGGTCAGAGTTACACAGAGAGAGGCGAGGCGGAGAGAGAGAGAGAGAGAGACAGACAGACAGAGGTTTTCTATCTGCTGGTTCACTCCCCAACTGGCCACAATGGCCAGAGCTGAATCAATCTGAAACCAGGAGTCAGGAGCTTCTTCCAGGTTTCCCACACAGATGCAGGGACCCAAGGCCTTGGGCCATCTTCTACTGCTTTCCCAGGCCATAGTAGAGAGTTGGATCAGAAGTGGAGTAGCTGGGACTCAAAATGGCCCCTACATGGGATGCTGGCACTGCAGGTGGCGGCTTTACCCGCTGTGCCACAGTGCCGACCCCAATAAATAAATCTTTTTAAAAAAAGAAAAAGAAAAGGAAAGGAAAGGAAAAGAAAAGAAAAGAAAAGAAAAGAAAAGAAAAGAAAAGAAAAGAAAAGAAAAGGCAGGTAGGCAGGTGGAGAAGTAGCATGCTGGCAGGAAAGTACTTGGAGCTCAGAGTTCTGGCCACCAAGAACAGGGCTCTTCACCCTGCCTTTACTGTGGGCATTAATAGTCCCATATCTTCTCCCTCCACAAAGACTGTCTGAGCCTCATCTCTGTATTCAGAAAGAGTGAGATGTAAACCTTAATAAAGCTGTAACCACTGATGTCATAGTATCACCAAGAAGGGTTACAAAAGGAGTAGGGCATCTGAAACCATCCAGCTACCCATGGACCTTGGTGACCTGGGAGAGCCAGGCTGGAGTTCCAGGTAAGCACCAGCCAGG